TAATACCTGATGGGCTAATCTTGCATCTGCCCACAGTCCCTAGGTGTTACAACGTGGCTTGGCSCAGGGACCACTTAGGGTAAGTGTTGGGCCCATAGAGCCCATGTGATGGGTTTCAGGGGGTGCACTGTCCATAACAGTGTAATCGGTCAGGCCTTGTAACAAAGGCTAGGCTGAACCCATGTGACTGATGTGTAGATCAATGTTCGGGTCCCACGCCATACAAGGAAGCCCAACTGGGTAGCAGTTTAGAAGGCTAAGTGAGCACATAACCTTAATGGGCCTAAAACCCATTTCGAACTGGGCTGATTTGATCAGTTAAATAAGGGGCGAATTCTGGGGTTGGATTAGTAGATGGGATAGGGTCTTAACCCTATCCAATCAGAGAGTCCAGATCTAAATGTGATTCAGATCTGGAAACCTCCTAATGAGATTAGGAGAAGGCTGATCTAATTTGCAGATAAGATAAGGGTTTACCCTTATCACTTAAAGGAATTCTGATCCAAATATGATTTGGATCAGCAACTCCTAATGGGATTAGGAGTTGATCCCTTTAAAGTTATAAAAGGAGGGGGTGGCAGCCTTTAGGAGATATACGTTCACATCCTCTTCAGAGCTGAAATCACAGAAGGAAGAATCAAGCAACCCTGCGAAATTCTTTCTTGCTGCCTCCTTCTTGCCGCCGCCTCACCTGCCAGTTCGACCTCCAGTTAAGTGGGAGAAATCAAGATTGGATCTTGATAGGAAGTTGTGCTCACGTGCCGTCCTACTAATTCTTGCAAAGGATTATGTTCTTGGGAAGAACACTACTGATTCTGCTCCATCCTACACTGCACCATCTTCAGTGGGAGTAGTCTTTGGATCCTTGCCTGGGCGTGAACACCTTCGTTGGGAGATATTATTTCTCCGTATCAGGTATATCCCTCTCCTACTGTTTTTGTTCTGATCTGGTTCGGTTCTTTGTTCAAGATTGATCATTGAAAAATATGATTTTTCTAAAATAGGGAATACGATTCCCAGTAGGATGGAGAGAAATTTTTTGAAATTCG